CATGTTCAATTCATTCAGTATGTGGACCCCCGGTTCACCTCATGTTCCATTCATTCAGTATGTGGACCCCCTTTGACCTCATGTTCCATTCATTCGATATCTGGATCCCCTTTGACCTAATGTTCCATGTTGTATTTAAGATGTATTACATAATTCTGATGCCTGTCAATGGTATTGTATATGTTTAGGTTGAAGGCCTTGGATACATGTACCCCACTATTAACCTACCATTGTCCTTTATTTACATATTTGGTAAGACATTTTATCCCTGTTTTGACTTACATGTGCATTTGAAATTCACACAATGCATGTGGTAGGGAAATATTGTCCTAGGGAAGCATGGGTGGCATGAGCTGTTAATACATTGCCTCTCAAATGCTAACTAGGTTCGAATCCTGCCAGTCTCTGTGTCGTATGTGAGTAGAGTTGTTTATTGGTTCTGCCCTGTGCTTCAAGGGTTTTTCTCAGGGTTCTCCCATTTTCCTCCCTCCACAAAAATCAACTTCTAAATTCTAATTCAATCTTTGGGCTTTCACTTTGTTGGAGCCTGGCTCTTTTGCAATTGCCCCTCGGTGTGATACAACACTGAGCGAAATCTTAATACATTCAATGTTTTTATATGTTTTGATTATAATTTAAGATTGCATGGCTCCCTTGGTCCACAGCCAAATAGAATGTTATCCAAAGGTTTTGTGTCAGTAATACGTGAATATAATATCCTGTAATGTCACATTTCTACTTTGTTTTTCTAGCATTTCTGACAGAGCTTGTTCATGCTGTTGTTGGTCGATATATTTATAATTTTCAGCCAATGTTGACAAGAACAGAGGTAAGTGTAGGTGTTATGATCACTTAATGATGGATAGTCACCCCTCCCTCACCTATGGTAACACAGGTCTTTTTTGGTGTTGCAAGTTGTATTCTGGGTTGCTGTTCTTTGTATTACTCCAAACCCATTGCTCTTGGCTATTGACTCAGGTTCTCTGCAACATTAAGAAAGATCCGGTAACACTAGCAACACCTAACATCACTTCCTTTTCTGTCAGTCAGCTACAACCATTCACTCATGCTGCAGTTAGTTGCATTCTTCATTCTGGTCACGTTATAATCAGACACACCACATTCCTGTCATACACTCTACTCACCCATGACACCCATTACTCCCACGAAGGACTAATGTCCAAAACGTCAGTGTTATCATCTCTTCACGGTGTAAAATTTACCCTTTTATCATTACTCACCCATGGCATGGCTTGTCACATCTACCCCACCCCTCCCCCCATCATCCATGACACACGCCTCAATCATCCATTCACATCAAGATAGCTAATCATCTTCCTAATCCTATTTTCATTACCTATCTCATCCGCCAAAGGTACACAAAACTGGAGTCACACATTTCTTCTCAATCAATAAAGCAAGAACAGAGCTGGGTTATAGTCCAGTGGACCGTGACCTGATGGGTGTGGTCAAGCACTTCCGAGAACAAGGCCATGGAAAGAAGGTTCCTAAGAAGCAGTCCAGTCTTAAGTATTTCATAATCAATGTTTTAATAGGGTTTGCTTTTGCCTTTGTGTTGATGTCATGGTTACCAAAAGTCCATACGTGATACACAGTCATTGTTTACCATGTGTTATTTTATTGTGTGATTTCTTTATTTTACTGGGAACCTGATGATATGAAAAGCTCAAACCAAAACCCAGCCTGAAAATGAATCTCTGAATCTTCGCATCAGTTTTCTCAGTGGAACTAAAATGGTGTCCCACAAACAACTAGAGTGCAAACAATTAATCTGTGAAACACTAATTACTAAATAGTACAAAATAGTGCTAGTTAAACAATAGAAAACAATGGAATTTGCATGAGATTGTGCTATTTAGTATTACTAAAGTTTCACAGATTTACTGTTGTCACTCTATGCAGTATATTTGAGTTTTAAATTCTGAGATATTTTAAGTAATAAGTAATTTGTTGAGCTTGTGGGACATAGCAACAGTAACTATCGGGAGCCAGAACTTTGAATCAGTTACACACAGATTCTAAAATTGGCTATTCAAACTTTTCTATTCAAACTTCTTCAATCAAAAAATGTACCAGTATATCACTCTCAACTGAAAGAGCATCAAAAAGTGAGCACAGTGGTGGATCCGAGGGAGGGGTGCAGGGGGTGTGCACCCCTCCCTGGTTCCACTCTGTGCCCCTACTTTGAAGATAGCCAATGCAAATTGTTTTTTCCCTTTGATTCTAAGGGGTGCACCCCTCCCTGGGTTAACTTTATGCAGTGCACCCCTCCCTGAACAAGGAAAGTTCTACAGATATTAGTATCAGATTTTGCTGATCAGTACTAGCCTTGTTTTGGTTTCTTCACAATTTCCACTTCAGTAACTTCTAAAATAATTATGACCAATCTCGAGTGATTTCCACTGCAGTTAATAGCGCAGCGCACTGATTCTAAAAATAGCTTAAAGATTCGGACAAACATTGCATCGTTTAACCGCTACGAGGATTATACGAACCGATTTTATTTTTACTTATTAAACTCAGGAATAATTAATGAGGAAAACACAACAGAAATCACGACCGTGAAGAGTTCTGTAAATCAGATACAGAATCTTGTTCATTTGCATAAACTTTAAGATGGATTTTCTTGGCCAGATTCACTTTTATACGTTTGATAAGTAATCTACAGTATTCGTGTCCGTGTTGTATCCAATATACAAACTCTTGGCTACGCCTCGAGTTTGTATATCAGATACAACACGGCCACGTATACTGTATATATCACTTAAAGTTACAATAACCCATTTAAACTAAGATCAACTGCGATCAATCAGCTGTGAAAATTATCCGCTGAAAGTAAACTTGTTTGTTTGTTTGTCCGAATTTCGCCTTTGTCTTTGTTTCTATGATGTCAATAAGGGATAAGGGAATAAAGGGATACAAGATTTTGTATTTCTTTTATTTTTATTGAACATGTAACTCGGCTTGATATTACAACAATAAACTGAGATCATAGCATACCTGTCATAAAGTCTCCTTTAATGGATGGAGTACATAAGTTTTTTTTGCATTAAATGGATATTTTATGGACTATTCAATCATCCTTTATCATGGTTCAATCAGCATGTAAGTAATCTTATTATCTATCCCAAATATACTCATCAAATCACTTTTAATCTTAATAATAACTGACAATTCCAAATGGATAAGTTAATTACTTATGAACTGTTCATGTAAACATATTATATTGTTTTAGTCTTCTCAACACTAGCTTGTAAAAATAAACATCAAATATGATCATTCAAATACACTACTTTGACGACAAGGCAGCTGTTTTGGATCACAAGGCATCATGGGCATCCGGGGGGGGGGGGCATATAGAGTTAAAGTGAGGCTTGATATATTTTTCCTTATATTGCCTGTCATTTTTACAGCCAAATACAGCATATCAATCACCTTTACCCATGAGAGAAAGACAAACTATATTATTTGTCATTTTTGTTTTGCTCCCTGGATGCCTGATAATGCCTTGCGATGCAAGATTGCCGCTGTATCGTTAAATTAGTCCATTCATCCAAGACAGTTCTGCCAGATAGGAAAAACATAATTTTGTAATCTCAGGAAAACAGAACAAAGAGAGTAGGCTTTACAAAGCAATGTCAACACAAACTGTTTATTCTCGACTTTCACATCCCCATAATCCTTTGCAGCTTTGGGGGGTAACCAATTGAAAAACTGTCCCAAATTGAAAGGGTAAAAACCCACTTATTTTGCTGAAGGCTGATCAGACAATGTTGAAAATACCTTGTTTGGTATCCAAAGATAAAATGAAGAAGTAAACAACAGAAAAAGATAGAAGCTTGAAGACGTTTAAGGTAAATTTTAAACATTTTTTCGTAAGTCAATACATTTTCTGTAAGACCAAAACTCTTCATGATCTGTACACGCAAAAATAGCTTGGAATAAACTGATAATCAGTATTGTACAGATAAAATCAGGTAAAGTATAAATTCAATTAAGAAACCTTTCAATTTGGGACAGTTTTTTGATTGGTTACCCCCCAAAAACGCAAGGCATTATGGGGATGTGAAAGTTGTGAATAGCTATTTTGTTTGGACGAAATGGCATTTCTGAAGTCGTACCTTGTCTGTACAAACCTCTACTCTTACATGTTGTAACATAACCAGAACTACTACAGCTAGTTTTGCACAATACATTTCATACTTTAACACTCATATATATTTACACATCATAATTACTGAAGGTCTGATATATGATCTTTTTAATAGATTAGTTTCAACATGTACAAGTATGTTCAAGTTCCCTATCCTATGGACACCCACTTGCATTGGTCTTGGACACCCACAAAGTATGGCCAGGGGCAGACCCAAGAATTTTAGAATGGGGTGACTATTAAAAGGTTTTACCAAGAATGCGAGTAAAAGGGGGGGTGACTGTTACTAACAATATACTTAGAAATTTGAGCAAAAGGGAGCGGGGGACTAGTCACCCCTTTTACCACCCCTGGAACTACCCCTGATGGCACCCACTTCACATGGACACCACCAAATTGACATGGATATCCAATTGACAAGTACACCCAATTAAGATGGACAACCAATATTGACAAGGGCAACATTTCCATTCAGCATAGCACCCATATAACTTAGACACCCACTTAGTATGGCACGCACTTGACATGAAACTCTTTTTACAGGGACACCCACTTACGAGGGGCACCCAGTCAACATGGACACCCATTTAGGTTGGACACCCTCTCAGTAAGCACACACTTAATGTGGATCCCTGCTTGACTCCATTTGATATGGACACCCATTAATATTACACCTTCTTTGTGCCCATTATGACAGGGAATGACTGTATATCCTGTTCTTTCTTGCCTCAAACAAAACTGATATCTTGATAATATTAGAGAAAACAAGAAAACAGAACAGGCTTACAAAAAAGAACTAGATTACTTTAGGGATTTTTTATACATGTACTCTTTTGAAGGTTGGTTTGCTCAGTGGCTGGTTCGCTTACACTACGAGGGAAACAAAGCTGTTATACTGTTGGATGTTTCGCTTAAGGATTTCATTACATGGACCCATCACACGTTCAAACCGTTGTCTATCCAGCTTGACACATTTAAGAAGCCCTCTTGCAGTGACTGTGGCTGCACGTGGTCTGTTAAGCACCAGAGCAATCTCTCCTGCAAACCAAACAGACAAGCTTAGCAAAAACCATCTCCCGGTTGGCTCAGTTGGGTGGGCACTGGACTATTGAGTTGAAGGTGGTGGGTTCAAGCCCTGCGGCTGGACCAACACTCTGGATCTTAAATTATCCGAGTAGAAGGTGCTACCTTTGCGCTAATTTTTTTGCAAATGTTTAGGCCTTTGCACCTTGTGTGATGGAAGCCATGACAGAAGGCAGCAACGGTTAAATATGACCTAATCTGATCTACATGGCAAAGAATTCAATAGAAAGAATTTAGTTTCCCAGGGGAAAAAGACTATTGTTGTGCCTCCTGTCATGGCTGCCATCACGTGATGGTGCAAAGCCTCCAAACTTGGAATACCACGTAAAATGGTGGTCTGGCCCTTATTCAGAGACGTTAAACTAGAGCGCCACAAGTTTATCAACTGCGACTGTCAAATGTCACCCTGTATTATGTAAAATAAGTATATTATCAACATTATTTTTATTACAGACTTAGATTTCCATCTATATGTTAGCCTAGGCAGAAAAAGAAAAGTGATAACCAATTTAAAAAAAAAATTACTTATGGTTTGTTAAAGCTAAGTTCAAGTTCAAGCAGATGAGTATTCTTACCAAAATAGTCTGACGGCCCTAGTCTGCTGACCTCGATAAAATCCTCATTTGGTGCACGTCTCTGAAGTACCACTGCACAACCCTAAAGAAAGTTCAATAATAAATACTTGCTTGAAATCAAGAAAGATTTTACAGGTTGTTGAATGAAACACTCTATGCTTAGTCAAATAAGTCAGGGCATTACCTCAACAATGATGTAGAATTCGTCCCCATGTTCTCCTTGTACGACAACCTCCTCGCCATCCTGGAACTGAACTGGTTCCAGAGCATCAGCAACAGTCAGTCTTTCCCACTTATCGAGAGATTCCAAAATGCTGACTTTCTCCAGAAACTGTTCATACATCCTCCTCTTACGGATCTGGCTACCCATGAGAATCCTACGGTAAGTGACTCGGTCAATGGCCCATAACTTCACGTCTGTCTTTGCCTAAACAACAATAGTTATTAATAATTAATAGTTATTGAAATATTATTGAATTATTACCAATTATTGAATTATTCAAAAGGGACAACCATCACTGAATGCACAATCTCACTCCCTTAGGGCAAAGTTATGAATGTAAATTTCAAACTAGTTGATTTTATATTGCAACATTGTCAGAACTCTACTAAGCTATTTTGGGATTGATAATGGAGTCACGATGACTCGGACATGTCGAGTTTTATTGGTATCATTGATTTTTGTAATTTTATGCATTTCGAAACCTTAACAATAATAGTACATAAAATATAATATAATATAATATAATATACAGCCATTTGCAAAAATTATGGCCACTTCCAATATATATACGAGTATATTGAAAGCATATCAAAAATTATGGGATATCCTCCCTGATATTTTTTTCCGAGTTGTCTATCACTAGGGCTTTCTGAAAAAAATATCAAGAAGGATATCCCGCCCTGTCTAATATTCTTTCGATATACTTGTATTTATATTTGAAACGGCCATAATTTTTGCAAACAGCTATATATAATATAATATATATATATATAATAATATATATTTAAAAAAATGCACTATTGATACATGTTTGATAATGAGTGGTTCATAAAATCTATAATCACGTTAGAATATTGAAAATAACTAGGCATCATCATGTTCCAAAGAAAAGTGACCAACCTGGTTCCCTGAATCTATGATTGGCTGCAATATTGGGGGCATGCATGGTAATAATGCGTCACGACTGCAATATCAGAATGCAAACCATACTAATATAGTACAAAATAGCACCAATGAAACAATTGAAAACAAAAGAATTAATGTGTTAAGTGCTATTTAGTTTTTGTGCTACTTCACAGACGTATGGTTTGCACTCTTAATGCATAGCATTTATTCAGTTTGTTACATGCTGAGATTTTGATAGAGAAAAGGCGGGCATTTATACACCTTTGACGACATGTGACGTCACTGGTTTGGGGTGGGAAAGGAGAATGCTAAAGATAACAGTCAACCCCCACCATCAGTAGTTAAAACAATGATGTGAGACTGATAATACCTTGATTGTTGCAGCTCTTGGGGTGCCATAAATCAAAGCGAGTTCTCCAAAACTACCACCTTCACTGATGGTGTTCACCACAGCATTGTTAACGAGAACCTGAAAAGTAACAAAGTATAATCTCTTTATCAGTTAATATCCATCATAAATAGGTATTCTAATGAGTCAGAAGCGGAATTGAAAGGAATGGAAGGTTTCCTTTTCCTTGGCTTGCGCTTATCATGAACAGCTTTTGTTTGTAATTTTAAGCATCAACATGTTTTATCTGAAGCTTTCAGCAAACATGTCAGATTATAACGTCATGAAGGAACCTCCTAGGATATATACCTAATTGAAAAAACATTGTCGGGTTCAAAAAAAGGTTATATCATCAAAGCTAAGACCGAAGGGGAGCATGGGAAGACAAACAATTATGCTAATTTCATGCGTATTGCAGTTTTCCCTTCCTGTGCACATTTTATGCATCATGGCTTTGGCATGTTGTTAATCTAGGTCGACCGACTTTGCCCTACTGTGCATTTTTACATGTCTACATGCAAATATAATATGCATTTCGGAGTACCCAAAATCCTTTTTGGCCTTAGCTTTGATGATATGACCTTCTTGAACCCGACTACGTTTTTTCAATTAGGTGTATACTCATAACACATCCCAACACAATCAATTATGAAACATGTGTTATGTAACAGTTGGTGATCAAATGCCGAGCTTTTGGGATCAATGGATTGCTATTGTAAGTAAGTAAGTAGTGGATTTGAGTTAGACATACTGCATATGGGACAGTTATATTTAATGTCCTACTACCCATAAACAAAGGGGTAAAATAACAACTTAAGTCAAAATACATTGCTATTAAAGATATTGTGCATTTGATCTAGTTAAAAAAAGATCAAAAATATAACTAAAACAGTTAAAAAATAAAATCCAAAAATGTACAACAGAATACTACATTTTCCAATGTATAGCCAATATCCAAAAATTTAGATCCGAATTCCCTAAAGCCAAGAAGTAGTTCACTTGTATCAAAGTGTTTTGTACTAATATTGAAGTAGTTTACATTTTCCTACCTCGACTTCGCCACTGTCAATGATATAGAAGTTATCTCCTTCGTCACCTTTAAAAATATAAAAAATTGTAATAACAATGCAAAATAATGTACAGATTACTGAAATATGGATCGAAAATGTACGAATTCTGATTACATTAAAAAAACATTCCAGTTGTAAACATGTCGATAGATCAGTGATTTTCAACCAAAATAAATAATTCTTACAAACTTATAGATAACAAACAAATTATACTAAGTGTAAGTAAAAGAATAACGATTATTCTGTTTTCATTTTACCTTGTTGGATAATAATCTCCCCATCGCTATGCTTTACAAGGCACATTGCATCAAATATATCACTGAAAAATCAAAAAAAACAAACTTTTTAAAGTCAAAATATTATAATTTTTGAATTTTTTCGATTCCTGGTTAACTAATGTTGTTCAGTAGCCTATAAAATACTGTCATACCTGCGTTCATTTTCGTCCAGATGCGAGAAAAGAATATTCCTGGTGATGGCTTTGGAAAGGGCAGCCATTGTTTTGTAGTCCTTGGGGACGACCTGTGTAAAGTAGACCCGAAAAAAACTCGAAATGTCAGGAAATATTCCAGATGAACGTACGGTAAAGGTATGAATACCTTCTTAACGTATGAAGTTGCTTCATCTTCGGTTATAGGAGCGGCACTGACTGCTCCACGTCGCTGTCTTTGGAAAGGTTTTGAGGGAGGTTGTTCCTCTATTTCTGTTCTTTGCTCTGGTTCTGATTCAAGTCTTGACGCTTCGTCTCTTCGGTCGTCATGCTCCTAGAAAAAATCCCAAAAATCCTAAGAAAACCCTTCCTTCGTTCGTATAATCAAATCGTTATATCTAAACAATGTTGTGCTGTTCGTTGAGAGCCATTAGAGTCAACGCAGAGGTATTTTCGAGCGAAAACGAAACGCTCACTTAGCGATGTTAAAAACAACAAACCTTTTCTAGTTTCTCGAAATACTCCTTGAAAAATCTATAAGGATTTTCTGGCTTAGAAATACATAACTGGACGATACAGTCTTTGAGGACGCCTTGAATGTTGTGTTTTTCGACGTAAATCTCGCATTGTCTGAGCGCTTCTGCGTCTCCTTCTTGTCGCTTTGAGGACGCCATCTTGAAGTGAGGAAGGAGCTAGGAATACGGACCGTTACGTCACAACACGAGGACCAATATCAAACGACCATGACGTCAACAGGACGTCATCAGTATATATATGTATATATATATATATATATTCTACATGATCTTACACACACAAAATCCATATTACTGATAATTTCGTATTCAAATTCATCACAAAGGAAAATCTATCATTATAAACGAGAATTGTAAAGAATATAATTACAGTATTTTTGAAATAATTTTCTCAATTAGAGGGGAAATATTATTGATGCGAATGGATTTTAGAGATGGTCAGTCCTGCTGAAGGTTTTGACATTTGGACATGGTTTGTTTATTATTCAATATTTATCTTTCGCCCACCGTTTCTTGAGAATTCCCCATTTATGAGTAGACTAACAATAAATACGAAGAACGCCTGCTAGCAAAGTCAATGCAGACATGATGGATTTGCGTCATAGCTAGAGGAAAACCGGTTAAAAATAGAAAGTCGTTCTAAATGAGGCAAAATTTAGATCAAGACAATCAAACGGCTTGAAACACCTGGTTAAATGAATTTTCCTCGCAATTTGATCAAACACAAGAAGATTTCTTAAACCTGTATTCAAAAACCAGACCAAATTTACCTTTGAAGACGAGCCTTTCAAATTCTTTCTTCCAGACATCTTTAGCCCTTCTCAGTATACTCTTTTTCTTTAACCTAAAACGATCCCAGGTGTCCTTGAATAGTTCCTTAAAACTATTTCTCTACATTCAAGTTTTCAGTACAAAGCAAGAACATTCTCAAAATTGGCGGGACAACTGCACGCGTTAATTGCTGGCTTCAGCACAAGGCGTAAGGGGATAACTGTAGGTCGGTCAAGTTATTAGAACATTATTCCGATATTTGATACTTATAGAACTCTATACTCTGCTCTTTTGGAGTCAGTGTTGAAATGTTGAAGTGAAAATTAATCTTTAGCTTAAATTCTTTTAGGCTGCGTTCATGATGTATGGCAGACGGGGGCTAGGTGAAAATCTGAAATGTCCAGAATAATTCTTAACACCCTCCTTAAAGTCATGCAAAAAAATACGATCCCCCCCTAAGCAAGGGTTGTAGCTTCTTCTAAAAATTGTGCATCCCCCCATTTTTCTGATAACAATTTGCCCATCCCCCCCTTTTTCCTACCAAAATTTTCCCGACCCCCCCCCTCAATTTCACCTGCCCTCCCTCCTCTGCCATACATTATGAACGCAGCCTTAGGACTCATTTTATTTAAAAAAATTGATTACACTTAAGAGATTTTTAAATCTAAACGTTACTTGCCAGAATAGCTAGCTATAGGGGAGTGTTCAATAGTTTATTGGTTAGGGGGGTAGGGGGTGGGATGGGATAGGGTTTGCAGGGGGTCAGAACGACTTTCTTCAGAAACATTTCGTAACCCGAAGGGGGCATCAAAAATATTGCTTTAATAAATATTCTGTCAAGGGTCACTAATAAGAACTAACTAGTTTAGTCAGCAAAGATCAAGCAAAAAATTAAATCCACCGGCCACGTGGCCCTTCTAACTAAAACCGTAAATTATGAAAGCTTCAGTTTTGACTGTGCAAATCTCATAAACTTAGTTGTAAATGCATTCAAGGTGAATAAATTATCTGTGACTGATGTCTGAAGCCATTAAAATATTGGAAGGCTGAGCTCAGACGATAAATTACTCTTTTTTTCGCTTTGAAAAAGCGCGTTTTGCTTCTAAAAATGTCAAGCATAGATTATTATAATTTAAACGAATTTCCTAGCCTATTTTGAAAGTATTTTAATCAAAATAAGCTTCAGTTTTGACGGTTCTGTACAAATCTCATAAAGTTAGTTGAAACAAGACGCCCTAGAGGTGTTCACTTGGTTACCTGTATGATGCACATATGACTAGTACAGCTGAAGAAGTTAACAATGTTAGCCAAAAGATAATGGAATCTTTCACAAGAAAGACTGATTTAGTTTAAATTGTCTAAGGCGAACTTCTCTCTTAATGTGTTCTCTACATAATATTAAAATAATTTCAGGTTCTGCCCTTTTTGAGGCTATAAAATAAACAGTTTGGCATTATGCATGTCATGCCACGATCCAAGAAGATCAAATATCGATCTTAATGTTTCAGTCAGTATTATATTATTTATTGGGATGGCTGTTTATTTTCCTTGTCAGAAAATGCAGAAAATTCAGCGCAATAGTACCCATAGGCTTCATGGCAAGTCATGGCATCACCCACTAGTCCTTTGCGGGCATATGATATAGAGATCCGAGTGCAGAAAAATGTTCTTGTCAGCAAATTTTGCCAGGAAAAATAGGAAAGCAAAACTATGCTTTTCGCGGATCGATGTTGCTTATGTGACTGATAACGTCTGATCGAACTTATACAGGCTTATAACCGACTAGGAATAAATCTTTTTTCACTAAAAAAATGGCCTGAATTGTTGAAGATTTAAATCTAGGAATAAGTGGTTTTTAAAAAAAGCATGTGGATAAAATGGAATTCGAACACACCAA